GAATTTTTGGACAAAAAAAATCACAATATCTCGCAATACTGTATATCGCCTTGTTTAGTATCACATTATATCGGGATATATCGTATTGTGACCCCTCTGTCATGATATGTATCATATCGCCAAATTCTTGCCAATACACAGCACTAATATTTACCTAGTTCCTCAAATATTTTATTCCCAAATATTTTGTCTTAGCTGTTTTTTAAAGGCCATATGTTACGTTTTTTTACAGGAAATCTACCCGGGTCAGTTCGAGCCTTCACCCTGCCACAGATTTATATCCATGCTAGATAAACAAAAAAAACTGCTACGCAATTACACCCAGAACATCGACACGTTGGAGCAAGTCGCCGGGGTTCAGAGGATTATTCAATGTCACGGTGAGTGGTTTTCTCCGTTCGTTCTGCAGTTCTGTGCCCGTGTGGTGCAAAGTTATAAATATTAAATTTTTTTTATCTAATTTTCAGGGTCCTTTGCGACTGCTTCCTGTCTCGTTTGTAAACACAAGGTGGACTGTGAGGCCATAAGACAAGAAATCTTTCACCAGGTATTTAGCACCAGGTTCTGTGGAGAAGTTAGTAACACAAAGTATCTTACCTGTTGTAGAAAGCTCCGTAAGCAAAGCGAATTTGTGGAAAACTGGAGTTTAAATTTTAAAAAGTTGTGATTTTTTTTTTTACCAAATACTTTCTTGTAATACTTTAAACTTGTCTTTCAGGTTGTTCCGCGCTGTCCGCGCTGTCCGGACATTCCTCTGGCAATAATGAAACCTGACATCGTTTTCTTTGGCGAGAATCTTCCTGAAATGTTCCACAGAGCCATGAAGCAGGACAAGGACGAGGTGGACCTCTTGATCGTTATCGGTTCTTCGCTCAAAGTCCGACCGGTGGCCCTTATCCCAAGTACGTTTTATTCAGATGAGTAMATTTCACGCTTGTGTACGCTCAACGCAAGATGTTTTTGTTTACGTTGCACCCAAGACCGTTAGACATTAAACCAAACTGAGGCGCAGGGTAACGATAAAGCCTGATTCCTAAAGGTATTTTTTAAATACTTAAATGTGCCCCTGTAAAACCATGTACACACCTCTGCAAAAATGTATTCCTGCAAGTACCCTGTAAATACCCTGTATTCACCCCTGCTGTTACCCTGTATGTACCCCATAAAAACCTTGTGTGTACCCCATAACTACCCTGTGTGGACTCCTATAATTACCCTTTGTGTCCCTGTCAGTACCATTTATGTACCCATTAGTACCCCGCAAGTACCCTGTATGCACTCMCATAAGTATCTTATATATACCMGTCAGTACTATGTATGTACCCCGTAAGTACCTTATGTGTACCCCCGTATGCATCCCTACAATTACCCTTTATGTATCCCTGTAAGTACSCTTTATGTACTAGTTTGTACCCTGTATGCAACCCTGTGTACCCCTGTATGTATCATGTACATACTTTCATAATTACTCTGTATGCACCCCTGTGAGTATCCTATAATTACCCCTGACAGTCCTCTGTATTTACCCCGTAAATACCTTATGTGTACCCCAGTATGCAGTCGTATAATTACCCTTTATGTATCTCTGTAAGTACCCTGTAAGTAGCCTGTACACACCTTTGTATCTATACTCTCCACCTCATGGGTATCCTATATATACCCTTGTCGGTAACCCGTATATACTTGTGTAGTTACTCTGTATGTATACCTGTAAGTACCCTKTAAGTACTTTGGATATACCACCATAAGTGCTGTTTGTAAGTAGCTGTGTTTCCATTGCAAATGTGCGCAAAACTTTGTCGATATTCTGTTAATGTCGAAAAAACACAGTTTCGCAACTGCAGTGTTTCCATTAGTAAGAAACGCTATTAAACTCATGCGTGAATACGTTTGTTCTCATGATAAGTCATTACAAACATGGCGGCGATGGATGTAAACACATAGCATGTTGCTACCACGACACTAGCGCTCATCATCAGAGGAGACGTCGGCGTCTTTTATCGAGGCTTTCCAGAGACAAGTCCCTACTTGTGAGCGGCTACGTATGCTGTGTTTTTGGGAAATTGTAGTCGGTGAGTTTACTATTTTATACTACTTCTGTGATATTACTACTACTTCTACTTCCTGTTATCTTCTTCATCTTTTTCACCAGTAGAAACAGACGGTTGTTGATCACGTGACTCCCGTGATGTGAAAAAAGTGTTTCCATTGCAGTTTTACGAAAAACACTAATTTTAATA